AATACTCTCTACTAAGATTAAGGGAATGCATAAAGTAATCTAACTAGTTTTATCTAAAATAGATAAGCTTAAAAAGCCTAAGAATAAGGTATCCTAGATATTAACTCTAACTAGATCTACCTCTACTCCTAAAAAATAGCAGCTATAGATTTAATATTCTAATATAGAGAAGGATAAACTAATAATTCTATATCCCTAGGACATAATCTTACTAATACTATAGATTATTAAATAATATAGTACTTAGTCCTGAAACATTCTAAAGCAAGGTTAGGAGGTATATAAATTCTATAGCTTACCTAAAATAGCTAAGCTATTTTTTAAAAAAGAGGTTTAGCTAGATAGGGTTACTAGCCTTACTAGATAACTCTATATAGATATTAATCTTATGCTATTTCTATAGGGCCCCTTAGTAGCTGTACTTTACTATACCTTATCTACCTATCTATAATATACTACAGATATGCTTTACACTGAAAACTTACTAGATATTCTAGTAGACTTAGAAAATATTTAGTTTTCCTAGAAGGAGCTATTATTACTAGACTAGAAGGAGCTATACCACTAGCTAATGCTAGCAGATCTTAAGAAATAAATCTAGATAGTTCTAGTTAAGCTTAGCATAACATATAAGTCATATTCTGGATTTATTTTAGTAAAGAAGGCTAAGACTGGATAATCCTATAGGTCACAAGGCCACAATATTTTTTCTATGCGGGGGACTTATCACATGACATGTATTAGTCAGACATTCTCATATCATCTAGCTTAGCATGAAGATAGTAAAAGAATGACGCACACATCACGTACACATCACCTTACAGTGACTAACTCAGTCTGGGCTCTGGGAGCCGATCGCTCCCCGAGGCGGTAGCCTTACGGTCACCAGTCGTACTGAAACAACACTGGCATCTGTGAATTGTTTTGACGCTTAGACTGTGTCTTTTTCAGGATCTTGGCCATTACTAGCTGTAGAATCTCAGAGCTCAACACAGAGAGATGAGACACTGGTAGCAAGTCCAAAAGGAGAAAGCGAGAGTTTGCTCTAAACAGTAAGTGTTTTAACAGGGAAAGAACTAGTACACAGGTCTGATCTGCCTTTAGAGGGCTTGATATGGAAATGGAGGGGATTGTCTCTATAACGCCCCGTGCCGCAATGATCTGCTTTCCTTCCCAGAAACCCAGTGTAACGCCATAGAAATACATAAGATGATACATACATAACTCATGCTATGTTTCCCGCCATTCCCATGAATATTGCCTGAGCGGCCAGCTGAAGAGACCAGAAGCCAACCTTCTTGAAGCGCCGTTTGCGCGCTTGCTCATCCACCACGTCCCGCGCAAATGCGTCATATACCTATAGAAAAACAAAACGAATTAGTATGTATAAATACCAATCGCGCGTGGAAGGCTTACCGCGGCCGAAAGGTCATCCATGAGCCCGCTGTCAAAGGTCGTCCAACTACCGTCAAAGTCTGCAAGTCGTTTGACAAGACGGCAATGGATGGGAATGAAAGTTCTCCTCGAATTGATGTAGGCCACAATGGGGCGTATCAGCGCGTTGTTTATGTACGAAAGATCTCGGGTAAACAAAGGCACCACTGCCCTAACGTTGTTCAACTGAAGCCGCAGATCAGTGACTAAAAAGCGTCTGTCGTCGCTCGAAGCAGTACTGTCCATTCCAGGTTGACGGCGTGAGTCTGATTCGTGATATTGGTTGGATATGACGGTTGCTTCTAACCGATCGTAAAGGCCGGCCATTACTTGCGCCAGACTTTCATCATTTTCCGCTGGAAACATGATGTCGGCAACGATATCAACGGTTCCCTCATGTATCCAAGAAAAGGGACCTTGTACCCCCCGATTGAGATGATCGATATTCAGCCCATCGATGCGTATCCTGCTGTGCTTCTTCCATGGGCTGGGTTTGCCATCCGCCTCAGATTTATTATCCATCTCGGCACCCGCAAAGCTGTGACTTTGCCGCGGGTGAATAGTGAACAAGGAATTGTCGAAAGACCCTGTCATCATGTTCGCCGACATGAAGTCATAGAGAAGCCATTGCTTTCTCAGTTGTGGAAGATCGCATGAGAATATACTCACAGAGAAAGGTCTGAAGTTACCCGGCTGGTAGACCGTAACAAGGACATCGCTCATCTTGAACGAGTCAATCTCAAAGTCTCCAGGATGATGTTCGTGTCGATAAGATTTTGGATCCAAATGGTCGTCCAACCAATGCACAGATCTTCGGTCGACAACTCCTCGAATTCCTTTAACCTCGACATCGCGCAGAAGCCCTTTCCCATTAATCCATTTTGTGAAAGACAATGTAACGTTAACTGTCTCAATGGACACGTCAAACTGAGTGTAGTTTGTGTCCTCCTCATCGGGTATCGATTGCTGATCCGAAAATGGCTCAAGGCTAGAACTCCCGCTCAGGGCGGCAGCGGCAGCCACGGCAGCTGCCGTCTTCGACGAACCCTTACTGACGTGCCCTGTTCCCTGTCCCGGGCGTCTTGAGACGAACACGTTTTTGAAGGTTATGACGCCGTCCTTCCATTTAGGTACAATAGCGGATTCGAAGACAACCTTCACACCCGATGATTTGGTGAGGTAATTGCCCACCCACCCTGCCAGTGTTTCTTATAGACGTTAGCACATGTAGTTCGAGTTAGACCGTCAGTCAATGCCTTGAGACATACCTTGAGCCAGCACCGTATTTATCGCGATTATCAACAGCGAGAAGAACGTGGTGGTTCCAAGGACGATCCATACAACATGACCCAGCAGCACCCATGAAAAGAGTGCAGTAATCTCGTCAAAATTGAAGGGACGGACGCTACGGATAGAGAACCACTTGAATCGTACTTTCAAACGAGACCAAAAGCCATTGGCTGCAGCTAGCAGTTCTTCTTTCGTAGGTCGATGCAGATGTGACATGTGGGGTAGACGGTTCATGATGTGCCGGCTTGTGAATCCCTCAAAGTGCTCTTCTTTTGACTTCAAATTCCCAGACCGAGTATCGCTATCCGCAGTTTCCCGAGACGGAGAGGGAGAAGTATTGTTATCATTGCCGAGAGGCTCATTCGATTGTTCTGACTTTGACCCATCATCCTTCTTTGTGTGCAAACCCCGTTTCCACGTGTAAAGTGACGCGCAAACAAACTTCCTATCCAGTAAGTGACTTTGCGAGATGAATTTCTCTGGACCGATTGCGCAAGATGTCCCAGCCTCTACTGCACATGGACTCGGGGAAACCCCGAACATAAGGAAGCTTCCAGATGCAAAGCGCTTGGTAATATGTCTCGTCCGCGGCGGCAATGATGATATCTTCCGCACATGAGTATTGAACAGAAATCTCCGGAACCAATTTCCTGTGCTCGGTAATTCGAAGAAAAAGGTCATGCGGCTGTTCCGGAGCTCACGCCCAAGCAGAGGATGTGCTGTGTCCCAGATACTGGTGTACAGCCTGCGTCCGAAGTTGAAGGACATGATGCCGTCACATTCTGAACATTTCCTTATAAAAGAAAGTCAGTCCACAGAAAGAGATGTAAAATGACCTTTGTAGTACAAAAGACTGCAAAGGTTAGGAGCAAAATAAGGTGGGAAATACTTGAACTTGAGTTCCACAATGAGAGATAGAGATGTAAATATGACACTTTTGAGAAGCTTCTCGCCGCTGCCCAGACGTGAATCTTTCCATGAAATCATCCCGCACACCAGATGTTTGTCTCGTTTGCAACTGAAAAATCCACGACCCACATGCACATTTCCCTACCACTGCCCATAAAATTTGTGATAACAAGCCCCTCAGGTGATCGTCAGGGAATCCTATCTACAGAGATTTAATACTCGAGATAGCGATAGATAGACGACGAGAATGACAGCACCGACAGCCCTTCTTCGAAAGTCCGATGAGCCACTCTCGGCCGAAGAGCCGTCTTTGGCTTTTTCTTCAGGTTTGTTCAGTCATTGACTCGATCCGTACAATTGCCTAACAATCTTAAGAGCGAGACGATGAGATTTTGATAGATGCTCAAGCATCCGGCCAGGGAGAAGCACCATCTCTGATTCCCACCGAGTCCGCCCAGGACAGCGACATGCGCATTGATGAAGAGAGCCGACCAGTGTTTACACCAATAGCGGATGCCGGGACCGTACTGCGAGTTGAAACGCGAAAGGTGCCAGTTCCTCCTCACCGTATGACGCCCTTAAAGGCAAATTGGCCGAAGATTTATCCGCCCCTGGTTGAGCATCTCAAACTACAAGTGCGGATGAACATCAAGAATCGAGCGGTCGAACTGCGTACCTCTAAATTCACTACCGACACAGGAGCGTTACAGAAAGGCGAAGATTTTGTAAAGGCATTCACACTTGGATTTGATGTCGACGATGCCATTGCCTTATTGAGGCTTGACGACCTGTATATTCGCTCATTTGAGATCCGTGATGTCAAGGCTTCGTTGAACGGAGAACATCTCAGTCGCGCTATTGGGCGAATTGCGGGCAAGGATGGGAAGACCAAGTTTGCCATCGAAAACGCAAGCCGAACACGGGTTGTGCTTCAGGGCACGAAGGTTACCATTTTGGGCAGATTTAGAGATTTGGGAATCGCCCAAGAAGCCATTGTTTCTCTGATCTTGGGTAGTCCTCCGGTAAGTCGTTGTTGCGTCGTATTCCGGTCTGAAGAGCAACTGCTAATACATAATAGGGTAAGGTGTATGGAAACTTGCGTAAAGTGGCGTCTCGCATGAAGGAGCGATTTTGATACCTATATTCTTTTTTTATTTTCCTCGGTTTGACGACAACCTTACTTGGCATGACATGGGCGTTTAGGGTTATGGTAGCCAGTGTTCGAATGCGATACATTTGATGTGATGTTATAAAAAAAGTTGCTCCCAAAAGCAAAGATATTCCCTCTCATGCTGTCATTACATATTTGGATCAACTGTTATGAGTAAGACAGAACAAACAAGTGAGGATACTCAACAGTAACCCCTCTAGTCTTTCTTCAAAGGTGTATAGATCTCCTCTATCCCTCTCTGGGTGATCACCATCATCTGTAAACCATCTCCGACTTCGATATGTCTCTCAACAGCACTAGTGAATGCGTCCCGAACTAGTTGTTCGACTGTCGCCCTCGGTAATGGCTCTGCCTTCTTGGGCTCAAGGGCATGTCCTTCCCCGCTGCCTGGGATGTACTGATTCTTGAAATTAACTTGATTGTCCAAAAACGGCATGATCAAGCTCGCTGCCGACCCTGCTGCTCGGCATTGCTCCCTTTCGTACGAGCCGACTGGATCGTAGCTGTACAACGCCCCTTTACCTTCCTCATCCAAGCCCGCAAGGATCGCATGGACGTAGTAAGGGAAGAAGCGCTTCTGGTAAAGAATAGTCGATAGCCGTTGAGCACAAGCTCGTACAGACATGGGCTTTCCATGCTGGTACTTGTACATCTTTACCACCGCATCTAGCCGCTCCTTGAGTGCTTGACCATCTGCGGCGAAACCCACGACCGAGAGCAGAATGTGGGCACCCTCCCCTGTCTCAGCATCACCTCCAATCTTGAAAACCTTGGGAACGTAGCGAGAATTAATGTTGTAGCCCGCAACAGAACGAGTGTCACCCGCTAGAATCGCAAAATCGGAACCTGTGATTCCCAGGGTAGAGCCGCCATTGTCGGTATATCTTAGATCAGAAGTCAGTGACGGTTCATACAATCATGTAGGGTGATCCTGCTACATACGGGTAGAATGAGTGTTCTCTGACTGCGGCGCTGCTTGGTTGAGCAAAGGAATATCCGATGGCCTCACTTTGAGGGTCGTGAGCCATGATCGAGGCCATCTTCGTTGATAATTGGCTTGATGAATGCGAAAGCGAAAAGAGGTCAGATGTGTAATCTTATGGATACAATGGCCGCTGTATCGTCAATTTGTGCGATCTTGATGGTGAGGATGTAGGTTGGTTACACTATATTGGTATCTGACGCGATGCTGTAGCTGCCTTCTGCTTAGCTAATTCAATACCTTCCGCCACAGGTGGCTTGATGTGGCTGATGTGCTTGAGTTGGTTACACTGTCACATAATGAATACCGGAAATAAACATAGCTTGTGCTAATTCGAGTCTCAAGTATCCTCTCTGGATTGATTTATTTGGTGAAGGCTTTGATTTTGTGCACCGGTAAGAAGGGGCCGGTTGAGGAGCCTCTTGAACAGCATCCCTACACTTCTTGAAGAATGACGAGCTTGCTGGGTCTCGGCGCATATCACAGCAGTAGCGAGGATGAGGGTGAACCCAGACATTCTTCACCAACGCCGAATGTACACGCTTTGGATCGCTACGTCCGATATCCGTTTGCTAATATTGAATTTCAGATCGAGCACAAGGACCAGGGAACTGAAGCATCAAAGAGCACAGGTCGTATAAGTAAGCTGCCTCTTCTCTTGGGTATTCTCTAGCTGGAGCAAAGCCTGATACACCAATATAGCTCAAATGGAAAACACCAACAACCATAATCTAACAGATGAAGCTCCTTTCAAAGCACTTAGTGGGCCCATTATGGGACCGTTGCACGATGAAGCGCCATCTTCTGCAGACAAACTTCCAATTGATGCGCAATTGTCCCCTGCCTCAGCAGCACGCACATTGATTCATGATCTAACTCTACCTCCCGTGGCCAATTTGGACATTCCTCCGTCTCCTCCTGGCTCACCCGAGCCCATGGTTAATGCGAAGTTTACCCATTTTCTGTCATTGAAAAAGCAGGGTACACATTTTAATGAGAAGTTAGCAAATTCATCGTCACTCAGAAACCCCAGTCTCCTACGAAAATTGATGGATCATGCAGGGATTGACGAACGAGCGCAATACAATACTTCTTTGCCTGCTGAATTGTGGAATCCCTCTGGTTTACCGAGCTGGGGTTACAAGGAGGAACTGTTGAAGTCACAGAAAGAAAGTAACAACAAGTTCGAAGAAAGGAGGCGTACGGGACAGAGGGAAAACATTGATTTCGTGCCTTCCGTTACCATGGACTCCAGCATTACGTGATCTATCTGTGGATGTATGTGTAGAATCAATTGGGAAAGGCATGAACTTCTCAGATATCCAGAGTACTTTGCATTGAAAGAGTAGCTAGGAGATCAGCGGGTCATTTAAAGGTTCTTCCAGGAATCCTAGACATATGAGAATTGATTCATAGAGATATATCCACTATCCTATCATGCTTATCGGAACTCTCTTCTGATCTCATGATTTTAATGGCATTTATGGAGCGGACAACATGCTTTGTATGGATTGACGCTGTTTTGAGAAATTCAACGTAGCCTCGTGGGCATGTCCACCGATGGGTGACATAAGGTGCTAACGTAACCAGAGCTCCGTAAGCTCTCCTGCCTAGCTCGACCGAACCCTGCATCATCGCATTCCTGATAACTGTCTAATGTAACCACCTTGCTCCTGCTAAATAAGCTGCGCACCTCTTCTCGCTCCAATTTTTCATTCATTTCACCTCAACTGCATTTAGCTCGCATCGTCTCGACGAAACGCTCAAGTGCAGCTTTCATCATGAATCATTTTCCTGAAGCCTGGGGCAGAGTGAGTACCCCATTTCCCCAGTTCTTATTGTAGTACTAATAAGTCTCCTTCTCAAAAGCCAAGGAACGATGTATATGGGCCTTACAATCTGTCATACCTTCAGACTTCTGGCCCCAAGTCACATACTCAGTCTCCGGCTGTGACGGGCACGTCGGTAGTAGCGGTCAAGTTCAATGGAGGAGTTGCAGTCGCCGCCGATAACTTGGGTACGTAAAATGGGGGATCTGCTTTGCGGCACACGCACAACTGACCCGAAGAACCTGTCAATAGCATCATATGGCTCTCTTGCTCGATTCTCGGACGTCAAGCGTCTACGTGTATTCGGTGAATCTGCCGTCATCGGATTCAGTGGTGACGTGTCTGATATGCAGCATATCGACCGCCTTTTGGAGTCGATTGATATCCGGGAGAATTACTCGACCCATGGAAACACGCTGAATGCGAAAAATCTCCATACCTACTTGTCCAAGGTTTTCTACAAGCGGCGTTCGGAGTTCAACCCACTGTGGAATCAAGTCCTTGTTGCTGGGTTCGACGGTAACAACCAGCCTTTCTTGAGCTCTGCAGATTTGCTCGGAACAACATTTTCAGCGCCACACCTTGCTACTGGATTCGGTGCCCATCTCGCTATTCCGATCCTGCGTCGACTGTTTCCCGATGAAAAGACTGTTGAAGAAATTACCAAGGAAGAGGCGGTGAATGCGTTGAAAGAGTGTCTCAAAGTTTTGTGGTACAGAGATGCACGGAGTCTCGACAAGTTCTCGTTGGCAGTGATTACCAAGGAAGGAGTGGAGATGCATGAGGACCAGAAGATTGAGAAGCAGAGCTGGGCATTCGCCGAGTCCATCAGGGGATACGGAGCTCAGGTTAACTGATCTTCGGACGGGAGTCCCTCGCTCGAGCTCACTGGGGTGATAGAGTTTATAAGAGGATGACGCTACGATGAGGGCCTAGCATCCTGCACGATCTCTGAGAAACACTGATGATATCTAACATTTCACTTATGCTATTCACTCAGCTTTGCAGGTCAATTACAGATCTGTCGTAATCGAAGCCTACAGGAACATGGTTACCCTTTAAAGCTTAGCAGAGGGCCTGTCAAAGACAACTTGGTTCACGCATGATCCCACTCCTTCAAGAGACACTTCAACCTGATCACCGTCTTTCAGCCACAGGGCGGGCTTTCGGCCCATGCCCACCCCCTGCGGTCTGCAATTAGGCAACAAGTTAGCTTTCCTCGATTAAATAGTGTATCATGAATGGGAGTAATGATATGGTAAGGCAAAAACTCACGTTCCAGTGAAGATCAGGTCCCCCGGTAACAGGGTGGTGCCTTGAGACAAAAATGCCACAACCTTCGCAACGCTGAAGATCATGTCCTTAGTAGAGGAAGACTGGACGACCTGGCCATTGAGCCTCGTCGAGATATGAAGTGCGTTGGGATCACGGATCAACCGCGAGGACACAATGCCTGGTCCAAAAGGCGCCCAACCATCAAACCCTTTCCCAAGACCCCATTGACCGCCGCCCCGCTTGATCTGCCAATCCCGGTGAGAGACATCATTTCCCACGGCGTAGCCCAGCACGTAGTCTAGAGCCCGGCTCTCAGGGACATCTTTGGCTTCCTTGCCGATGACGATAACGAGTTCGCATTCATAATCGAGGCCTTCGCCTTCTTGCGCCATAGTAGATATCGGAATGTCATCTCTGGGGCCCGCGATGGACGTGACTGGTTTGTAGAATAGAACGGGATATTTTGGGATGGGGAGGTTGGACTCTCTTGCATGTTGCTCATAGTTCAAACCCAGGCAGCGGACCGTCCTAATATCTTTCCTGGCCAGAGGTGCAAGAAGCATCTTAACCTCGGAGACCTGGTCTGTGACATTGTGCTGACCGAAGATGTCACCCTGGATCACCTTTGCCTTGGTCACTTTGGCAAGGTCGCTGACGCCCGCCGGGAGAATGGCATCACCGTAGTAAACATGGCCGTCTTTGGCCAGGAATCGAATGAGTCGCTGTCCGGATAATAGCGATATGGATAAGCATTGAACAACTATTCAGTACTACTTCGGGATTGGGATATTATGAAATAAGGGAAGCCATTCTTGTCCTGCCAGTGAAGTGAAGGGAAAAAGGCTGGTCTTCGTGTGTAACGGTAAGATAGGATAGATGACAAATGCGCCATACTTACAGAAAACGTAGACATGTTGACGTCTTCAATTGGTCATCAAAACCGGGTGTATCAACTGGATGTTGTAGGTAGGCGGGTATATACACTTGGCATACAGAATATGTAAATGAATAGGTACGGAGTGGGATAGTTAGTCTGGTTCGGATATAGTCTATCTACAGTTGGGATATATATACTCTGTACATGGTTTCTCGGCCGGAACAGGAGCTACTTCAGCAGCCGCTTCCCCTGTCCCCAAACCGGCGGAAATCCAGATTGTACGGAGTAGACTAGATCGTTGTTCGACATTCGGATTTGCTCTCTGTAATACTATGTGTTGTCGTTGGTAATGTTAGTGGGCTGCAATTCGTCCACCAATATCACGTTTCCCTGCCTGTCTGGCCGCGTCTCTTCGAGTATTGCTCCCGTGTGACGACTATTCGTGCCTTGTTCCCGAGGCGTATTCAAGGGAATTTGGAGATGCTAAGCTTTCATCCGGAACTATCTACGGGGCCAATGGCCGCTTGACCATCAAAACCAGGTTCTCAAGGACAACCAACATTCATCACTCAACTTCGTTCGAACATCAGACTAGGACCATCCGTACTGAGAAGTTTTCCAGTGAAAATATAATACGCCATCGATGGCTCGTCTATCAGGTCTTCAGAGGGAGGTCCTGTCTCTCTATAGGAAGTGTCTCAGAGAAATCAGGAAAAAGCCTTCAGTGAGTCTCCTCTTTATTGCACACTTTCTATGACTGAGTGACTAGGCTACATAATGAACTTGTCAATATAGCATTATTTTGGCTGATTGAACCGATACTGTAGGAAACAAGGAGCAATTTCAAAGCGTACACAAGGTATATCAAGAAAAAAAGTCTAGCAGTGTGATTGACAGAGATCTTGAAATGCACGCACTCCTTCAATAAATCCGCTAACTCCCCAACAGAGCAGAGTTCCGAAAGAACATGTCTGTCAGCAAGAAGGATTTTAGTGCGATAGAATATCTACTGCGCAAAGGGAACAGGCAGCTTGAGATGTATTCATCCCCTGGTATCCGAAACATCCGGTAATCGCGGCGCGCGTTCAGATGAAGAGTTTGCGATCAACAACGACAGAGGCATTGATCTCTCCGGCTATCCTCAAAGCAATTACCAACGACCATGACCATGCAACTGTACGATCGGCGCCATTGGATTAGGACAGCCTATGCCAATGCATCAGAATCTCACGACGATCACGTGACTTATCCGAACGTGGAAGGTTCTCGCATCTTCCGAGGCAATGCTAATTCATTCCGAAGCCTCGAGAGGCATCTTGAGAATTCGAGTAGTCGCTTCGAACAGCCAGGAGATGCCGGGTGCCTTCTAGATGCCCACTACTTCTCGACAATATGGAGATACCAGTGCTTTCTAGAATAACATTCGACCATTATAATAACCACTCAAAGCCCGTTGAATGTAGAAGCATCAGATTACAGACAAACATTGAACACAGAGCAAGATACTAAATACATTCTTCAAGCTACCTTCGTTGTCGCTCTTAGCCACCAGTTGCATTTTTGCGAAACCACATACGCTACTTTTCCTCAATACTACCAAACATGGCATTCCCACGCTTTTCGACCGACCTGGCTCCCTTGTTCCAGCTGTTGGATGACTATGATACCCATCGTACCTATCGCCCAAAGAGCAAGGTCACCCCTGTCCGGACATTCGCACCCAAGTTCGATGTGTGCGAGTTCCCAGATGGATATCGTCTCGACGGAGAACTTCCCGGCGTCAACCAGAGCGACATCGAGATTGAGTTCAGTGATCCACAGACTATTGTGATCAAGGGTCACGTAGAACGCAACTACGACAACACCGCTACCGAGACCGGGGACGACAGCTCATCCACCAAGTCCCGTCAACCTACAGTTGAAGACGAGACTGAAGAGGGCAATGCCTCGTCTGCTATCGCATCGCCGGCTAAGCCAGCTGAGCAGGCTGTTACAAATTCACCGACCCAGACAAACTACAAGCTCTGGGTCTCTGAGCGCTCAATTGGCGAGTTCCAACGAACCTTCGCCTTCCCAACCAGACTCGACCAAGATGCCGTCAAAGCAAGTCTGAGAAACGGAATCCTCTCGATAGTTGTTCCAAAGGAGGCGGCGCCCAAATTGAAGAAAATCCGCGTCGAGTAAAACAGACGGTTAATCAACGACAGCTTTACGTTCACGATTTCCTCATGACATGTTTCCTCTTCGAATGCGCATGTACTCCTAACGACGATATGCAATGATTGAAGTTTTCTCGATTATGTCTTCTGCACAATGCAGACGCATCAATGCCGGCGTGGGGTTGCACTTAATGTCCTGGATGAATAATAGCTATGGTATCTTCATAATTACACGAATGAATATTCTTGATCAACTATTGTCCAGTAGGCACATGCTACAGTAAAGTAACTATGAAATCTAGCTCTTCTAAGATATAACACCAGCCGGCCTTGCACATTCCAACTATCTCGTTCACTAAGTTACATACTCAAACTTGGTTCGAGGATTGTGAATGGCGCTGTGCTTGAGAAAGGTAGAGGTTACGAGATCCCACCGACAACAAACAGTGCAGATCTATGCATATTAGGTATCAAGAAGTCATGGTTTGTTCTTTGTACCAACGCCAGGGAATTTGCTGACTGGGTTCTGGAAGCTATGTACGTCATGAGGATGCGTAACAGTCACCTAGCCTATCCACGGCCTGCAGTAGAAGGCATTAGCAACTGTTACCGTGGTCATGGTCATGTCCAGGGGGTTCTGCATCATCGTATTCTACATGTGTGCATGTGTCGGTCAATTGGCGATGTACATGTGTCAATATTCGCGAGTGTCGAGTGCTGGGTTCAATGTCCAGATGTTCCTCCTTACCTGCAATGCATGAACACCGTATGCAATGCGTTGCTGCGGGATTCAGAGAGATCTAAAGCGATCCTCGCAAACGTCCCGTAAATACATTACAGCGACCATCAACAGAATATCCATGTGTTTTAAGATCATCTAGTTTTGGGGCGCTCGGTTTTCGCAAACTTTGACTCTGGATTTGGATCTGCATGTTGCTTCTGTAAATCCACCCACACTAATCACACATCAATCAACATATTTTATGTATTGTTCACATCTGGAACAAACGCTTCACAGCCATATCGTGCGCTGACGCAAGAAGTTCCACATAAATCCGGGTATCTCAGAGATTTCAGGCCATGCATAATTCATCGGCCGTTGTGACGCTCCAGGGTAGCGGTTCTTCGTGTCTTGCAGCTTGGCAGAGACGAATAAATTTCGGAAGAAAAAGGGAAAAAAGAAAGGAAAGAAAAAAGAAAAGGTGTAAAGACAGTCGTGAGAGGAAGAAAGAAAAACAGACTTTCGCCCAACGCCATTAGACCTTGATCCAGTAATGCCAAACAATCAAGCAAATGCAACGCTGGATATGACCGGGAACAAATGTTAAAAAAAGAGAAAAGACCGGGGAAACACCGTATGCCCACCATGATATCAAATTCCGTGAGGAAATCAACACAAACGTGTAATGCTGACGTACGACATGAGAGCCGAGGAATGAAAGACGTCTAGAGTTAGATCGCCGATAGAAAGTTGAATGGGTCAAAAGAAACTCATGAAATGAGAAAGACATAAGAGAAAGATGTATCGAGGAACGAAGGGCACATAAGATAGCACAAGTCAAGTGAAAATGAACGGGGATGTTGCCAGGTAGATGTCCGAACGTTTCTGGGTGTGCGGTTTCGCCATCACGAGTCTTCGGTGCTGAAGCTCGACGCCCCGGCTTTGGCCTGGACCGCGTGCTGGTTCTGATGCGGCGAAACTGCGGTCTTGGTACGCTGAGCTTTTAAAAGTGTCTGAAATAGGAGACGCAGGTAAAGGCGGGGCCTCGATGCCCGGCCGTTGCGACCATATCCTGGCCCCTGCCTTTCTCTTTGGGCCCGTAGCTCGAGTGCTCGCGGATCTGGAGCCCCTATCATGGGCGAAGTTACTTTCAGATGCTGACCTGAGAAGCCTGTTGCTCTGGAATCTGAGGTCGTCAACGACCTCCTTTGTGTGGTCCAATTCGGAGTGACCGGATAGATCACGCGGGTCACTGGACTGGGCAGTGTGTTCTCTATCTCGAACACCCCTTGCCGCTTCCAGGTCGGAGTGTTCCATTTGACGTATCGATGAGTGAGGCGTGCGGTTGACAATCGGCTCAAGGTTGCGCAACTGCGCACAGTAATGAGTTCGAAAGTAGGTGCGATTCGGATTCTGTGGAACCGAGTACGACGAGCTTCTACTGCGGCGATAAGACGATGTTTCTGGAGGTTCATGGCACATTGTACTTGTACTCGCTTCAGCCATCAAACTCGCCCTGTGGCCCTGAAGGCTCACATGGCGGCGCATTAGAAGCTGATTGCCCAATTCCTCCCGAATTTGGAAAGTCTTCGCGGTGTCCCCAAGAGCGAAAGGGTGATAGTCTGGAGAATGTCTTCTTGATGCTTGGGAATCGATAGAGTCTCGAGAGCGACCATCCTGCAGAGACCGAACCGAGGTTGCAGAACTGTAGCCGCTATCTGCTTTTCTGTGGAGTCTCGGTGATCTCACTGTGCCGGGTTTCTCTGTGGCAGTTGGCATCGCTCGGTGGTCAAAAATTTCCCCATCATCCGGAACTGATATGCCCTCATCGTCTATTTCCTTAGAGGACAGATACGGGTCTTGACCGTGAGGATATATATTTATAGGCGACTTCTCGAATGAGAAAGGACTGGCGGGAAAGTCATCGAGTTTCTTCGAGTCCGACAGCGACGGGATTCTCAACAATGACGCAAGCGGCTTCTTGACGGGTTGCCCTTCTGACGCATCTTGTAGACACTCTTCCACTAATCGACGGACAGAGCACAAGGTGGCGTTTTCTGGCCATTCCGAGGTAGGGCTCGCGTCTGCGTTGTTTTGACGTACATCTCGGTTGCGCCATGATGCTCCTGACTGCACAGCATTCTCGTCGGGCTCAGTGGTAGAACCTCGCGCCTCATCCAATCGAGATCGTTCACTCGGGCTCGGTGATGCCGAGCCATTTACAACTCGCAGTGATCCGAGCTTGAGGTTGCCCAAATGTGTGTACTCTGAATCGCTCGGAGTAGGTGGGCGGACCTGGGTAGGCGATTGCGTACAGACGACATCCTGATCTCTAAGTTGAGAGTCCACATGACTGAAAGAATGCTCATATCCCTGGTCGATCGACGGTGGAAGTCTTCCGATGGTGGCCCCTTTCCCAGATCGTCTTGTGGCAACTCCAGGTTTCGTGAGGAGGGATCTTCGGCGCATCAAGGAAAACCCTTGATTGTCCACCATGAAATGCGTGTTAGACGAGGCTGCCTCTTCAAAGGCTCGATCATGCATGCAGTCTTTGGCTTTGCCAGGAGGCGTGTGCATTGAGTAGGACCTAGTTGGGTGCACAGATTGGACGTATGACAAATGGTGGTAACTATGCAGTGTTGCTGGTCGCAAAAGGCCCTGTCTAGAAGGTCGCGCAGAGGTTCGCCTGCTCAAAGAGATCGGCGAACCTAAGTCCGTGCATGGGAACTGAGGAGACGACTCGTCTGTTTCCTCAAAGACGACACAGCTTTCGTTGACCTCGTTCGCAAGACCCCACGGCGCTTCAGAATGAGGAGGACGAGATGGAAACGACTGCGACCGCTGCGCGCGATGATCATGAACCGATGGACTAACAGGGATCGTGGTGCCAGTCCATGGGTTCTGCCAGGGAAGGGCATCGGTAGTGACCACTGAAGCCTGACAAGGCGAATTCGGGTTTGTAGGGCTTATGGTTGCATTTTTTGTCGGAGGTTTAGAGAGACGGTTGGAGCGGCGACGCTCATCTCTGCTCTGAACAGAGTGGGAGCTTCCCATGACTTGGTGAATGGGATGAACGCAGTTCTGGCTGGGAATGACTTCCCAGGCTCAAATATGCCGTATGAAGGACATGAATTGCCCAAGCAAAGGTTTAAAATACCAAGACAGATGTTCCAGAGAAGCTCGGCCGCAGGTACCTATGGTCCTATACCTGTTTTCGGAGATTATCAAACCGCTTATGTTGTAATTGTGACAGCAAATCAATATAACGGGAGTTTGGCGCCGATCGGCCCTGATCTTCAGGAGTCCAGGACCTGGAATAAATAGGAAACGCAGACAGAACGGCCAACCCAGCTGGGTGCTCTGGACCAGATTTGAGAGTTTCCTGTCGCGGAGGTGGGGCCAGTGAAAGTGCGAAACTATGAGGAGGACAAAAGGTCCTCGATCTCTCTTCTTGCAAGCGCGCGACGTCAGGGGACTGCCTTGAAACTGGCGTGCACCCAGCGAGACAATGCCAGGCCCACTGCGATCGAAAGATCGCCGTATTAGTTCAGCTGTCAAAGAAACAAACGATGATGGACGGAAGTGACCAATCAAGGACAAAGTCGAGATGTCTGGAGCTTGCGATATAAAAGCAGGTTCATGCGTCAAAGCATAGGCAGAATCAAGATAGATACAACAGGATTGGAAACCAAAGGTATTCGAATAGAAGATAGAAGGTCAAACAACGAAGGTCAGAGAAGGGTATCACTCATAACGATAATACGACGAAGGACAATCAATCACGAATTAAGCCCGAGCTTTCTCCTGAAGAAACAAAAAGGAAATAAACAAGAAGGGGCCAGTGGGGGGACTATTAAGATGCATTGTCGAGCTACTGAGAGAAACGAGACGCGCTGCCATGAGCCAGAAAGTTGCAAAGAATACACAAGCATGACGAATGCGTTTGTACAGCGGCAGGAATATTAGGCAGTGTAGTATCCAACTAGACAGGAAAGGTACCTTGGTCCATACCATTGGTAAGGTTAAGTGGTAGCAAGTAATCTTGCAGTTGCAGGCCGTCTGGAGAGGGAGAGACCAGATGGATTGACAGTCTCAACGTTGGCTCTTGGCAGCAAGCGGACCCACTGGACAAGGACATTGACATTATCATCCATTCATTCTACTAATCCAACTCAATTTAGCAAATAAAATGCAAATCTATGGTGCATGGGGAAAACTAGCTTAGGTGGAGACAAGAAGACGGCATCATCATCATCGCCGAACACGGACAAAGAAGGTGCCTTCTCACAATTATTCCACCTTGTTACTTACCTTGGTAATTTAATGTAACCGTCCATAAGCTGACAGCTAATGGTTATCTAGGGTATTAATTTTCCTGAATCAAGCTCGAAACCAGCGGGAAACATGGCAAGGTACGGAGTTACTGGCTACTGACTGGTTGGTTATTAGAGAGTGGGTAAAGGACTAAAGGTACTCCTCCATACTCTCCTCCTATCTCATGTTTTCGCACCATCGAACCATGAATCCGTGCAACAACAATGATGTTACTTGGATAGGCTAGCTCAAAGACAACCTTGGAAGTTGGAAATTGGAACAGTGGGAGAACTGGACTTGGGAAATTGCGCTGTTATCTATTCTTCTATGGCTTTCTACACTTTACCTGATTGATAGTTAAGTATAGGTAGTCAAGCTAGAGACGGACACTGGAGAGCGTGGTCGAGACAACTTGGTTATCGGTTAGTTCATTTAGTACTGGATAGTTAGGTGGTGTGGCGGTGGGAGACTCTGAAAACCGAAAGAAGATCAAAGATTGTCGCAAACAGCATCTGTAAAGTGAAACAGCCACCGACTCCACCACGACTCTCAGAAACATAAATGATAGATCGAGCTCTGATCCCCAGTCTTCACTGTCATTGGATAAGTCTTACATAGAATCATGCTTACAGAATCTTAGATGCAAGGGGGGTTTCTGAAGTACCTCTATTGTATGTACCTTCACTATGGGACCCGGTGTGCTGGATGTCTATGATCATAAAGGATGATTTTAGGCGAGATTAGATTTGTGGATAGTTCTAAGATCTCGATCCCATAATACCATTGTTATATTCATAATCCAATTATCATCTTTGAATCCCAGGTACTTCGTGGTTCAAAACTATTTTCCTCCTCGACCCACTGCTCGCTGCACATCATCTATTTCTATGCTATCCGCTTCTTTCTTCTACGACAAATGCTCTTTACGATGACAACATATATTGTTTAACCTAAACCGCTATATGAGTCATCACCACTTTTAATTATCTAGATACTGCATACACAGCAGAAGGAGCATCACCACGGAGTACAGAGCCTCTCTGCCTACCGTTCGGAAGCTTTCCGTATCCGGAGGGTCTGTTTTGAACTTCTGGGACGGGGACGGCCAAATGCATACCTACCACACAGCTGCCTAAGGACTTCTGCAAACAGCATCCTATCCTTGATCAATGCCAGGCCAGATTTCTGAACGCGTCGTCGGGAATCTGGATTGACAGTGGCAACTGAGTCGGTGTACAGTGCGTCTGCATTCTGCACTGCAACGCAAGAGCTCCTGCAATTGTTTTTGTCGGCTACCGAGGACTCTGCCTGCCTTAGCTACCTACTTATCCAGCTTCGCCTACACCGCGTCACTGCTGATCGTGCAGTCAAATGACGTCTCCGTCCAGCCAGGGCCCCCTTTCGGCCTTTCCCTCGCTAACTCCAGAGGAATTCGCCTGCGCCTGTCGTGCCTTCCTGAGTCGAGTTCATGATCTGTCCAGCAATCCAGTTCATGTACGTTGGTCCTCCGTGAGGCTTGTGCAAAAGGTAAGGACTTACTCTTGAGAGGCCTCTTCTTCGAGCGGTCAATACCCTGGACCGTGAGGCTAGACTTTCTGATGTCATATTCTCATCCTTTGCTTTGTCGACCTTCTAGACTACGGGCGCTATTCTCAAAATTTCGCGAAGCATTGGACACCTCACCAGCCTACACATTGACGACATACCTCCAGAACTGGGCGAGTCTCAAGAACCAAATTTGTGCGAAGATGATCCTGTTCGTGGAGAATGTGCTCCTATGTACATCTGCACTATGATCTGACAGCCAACACCAGGAAGCTCTGATTCGAACAACCCAGACGAGTCCCGGATTACATGTGGACTATGATATCCTTCTCTCCCCCGTATACCGCGTCCCCGTCCTATATTTCCTGTTACGGCGCGATGGACATCCACAGTCGCTAGAGATAGACGCTGTCTATCACCTTCTGGTACCGGACCAGTACAAAAAGGAACTGCAAAGTGTGGGTGTCATGGGTGGCATTAGTGTTGGCGTAGGTGCATGTGCATTTATTGTTTTCTTTCGCATATCAGATCGTTGCAGAGCTCACACTGCGTAGTATCATCCCGAATCTGGTGTTCCGGCATTCTTCGTTCACCCTTGCAACACCGCAGATGCGATGATGCGTATCACAGGGTGGCGAAAGATCACTGCCGAAACGTATCTCCTCATCTGGCTTGGGCTGGTAGGCAATTGCGTTGGTCTTCGACTGCCGTGTGAATTTTTCGCAACAGATACGCAAGAACCTTTCCCGGAGTTGAATCAGGCGGATTGTGAAGCAAACGATGCTTCGATATGTCTTTAACGCTGCCTCCTACTACTGATCCCTCTCTCTCTCTCTCTGTGAACCGGGGATAGCCGCAAGTGACCATGCGCTCTTAATCTTCATCTGACGAGGCTTCCATTGGCACGTCACTGTCCTCGTCCATCGGTGCCTCTTCCTCATCACTTTCTTCCTCACGAGGGCGCTTAGTTCCATGAGCTGCCTGGGCCTCGCCGTTGATCTGCCCCGCGGGTTTCGGGGGCAGTGCTGTGGATCCAGGCGGACCGCTGAAGATCGATTTCTGGAGATCTGTGGAAGCACCTGTAGCTTGGGTAGCAGTAGTTGTGGGGACGTTGTAGGTCCCTCGTAGCCTGGCGATCACATCCGACGTGCCCTTGGCATAGACAATTTTCTGAAAATACACCGTGTTAAGACCAGTGGCAAGTCCGTTGAACCCGAAAGCACCTACCATTTCTCTCCCGAAGAATTCGAAGCCCTGTAACGCGCGCATAGCTTGTGTGCTAGCCTGGACATCCTTGAACACAATATGCGCTTGACCGCGCATTTTCTCAGTTTTCAAGGCCACGACGTCCAAGACAGTACCGTAGGTGGAGAAAAGAGTATAGAGCGATAACCGTAAGTCATACTTCCGGAGTTTGTCTGGGAGGTTGGTACAATATAGCCTGATTTCTGTCAGATAATTCCAATTAGCAGTAGGACCAAGGCAGGGAGACTGACGTTTGGTTCGGTACGCCAGCAGGCACAGATTTGTTCTGATTGCCACCCCGTACGGAGGCCACTCTTGCAGACATGACTTTAAGAGACAGGACGTGACCGAGATACTGAGACTTAACGAGTAGAGGCGTGCAAAAAATCCGAGGAGCTTATGTAGTTACTGTTGAACGCGTTCCAATGCATGAACACTATTCGCCCATCTTTTGCTGTGTGGACGTCCTTTAGCTCCTTGATCATGTGATGGGTTACCTAATCGCTCCGCCCACTTCATTCGTCATCTCCCCCTGGTCCCGCATAGCCATTCGAGGTTGTTGCTCCCATCTACCATAGATTACCCCGTACCCAACACTCTAAATAATCATCGTTCTCGCATGACAGTAGAGAGCTCCTCCTGTCGTTCATACCATGTCTGCACCTGAGGTCCATCATTTGTTTCACAGTCCAATTGCGGATCATTCCTTCTCAAGCGATAAGAGCACCTTGGCCGTTGCGCGGGAGAACAATGTGGAGCTTTATCAGCGAACAGGCAACAAGTTCTCCTTGACCGATGAACTCAAGGGACATGAAAAGACCGTGACAAGTGTTGATATTGCTCCCAATAGTGGCCGTATCGTCACTTGTTCCCAAGGTACCCTGTCCTTCACCAATGCGCACCCATCCTGACCTCCAGCACCACCTAACCTACCCCTCGCATATAGATCGTAATGCTTATGTTTGGGAGCAAACTCCGACGGGTTGGAAGCCGACTCTAGTTCTTCTCCGGATCAACAGAGCTGCAACTTTTGTGCGTTGGTCCCCATCAGAGCAGAAATTCGCCGTTGGCTCGGGAGCCCGCGTCATTGCCGTCTGCTACTTCGAAGAGGAGAACGACTGGTGGATTTCAAAGCACCTGAAGAAGCCCATTCGGAGCACCATCACTACTCTCGCGTGGCACCCAAACTCCGTTCTGCTGGCCGCAGGTTCGACGGACTCTCATGCACGGGTTTTCTCCAGTTTCATCAAAGGTATCGACACGCGCCCCGAGCCAAGCGCTTGGGGAGAACGTCTTCCGTTCAACACAGTCTGCGGGGAGTTCCTTAACGACTCAGCTGGATGGATTCATGCCGTGTGCTTCTCCCCGAGTGGAAACGCTCTAGCTTTCACTGGTCATGACAGCAGTGTCACTGTTGTTTACCCCAGTGCCCCCGAACAACCTCCTAGGGCCATGTTGAACATCACCACACGCCTCTTGCCGTTCACTAGCCTGATTTGGAACGGGGAAAACGAGATTATTGCCGCCGGTCATGTGAGTTTCTAATAACCATTGTAGTAGTGCGGAGTCTATCGTGCTGACCGTCGCTAGGATTGCGAGCCATTCCGCTTCAGCGGTGATGAGAGCGGGTGGAAGCTGGCAGGTGCTATCGAGAGCAAGACGGGAGCCGGAGCTGGCAGTGTGCGGGACGAGTCGGCCCTCAATATGTTCCGCCAGATGGATCTCAAGGGACAGACTCACGCGGACACACAGCTGAAGACGATCCATCAGAACACCATCAACACGATTAGGGCGTATGAAGAGACGGGCGGTGCGGTCCACCAGTTTAGCAGTAAGTTATACATGCTCCATTATGAGGCACTCGCCTTAACATATCGGAGGGGGGTATCACTAACGGCTGTGTGCTAGCGAGCGGAGTTGATGGTCGTGTCGTGGTCTGGACCATCTAGATGTCCGCCCATACTTACCATACTTCTTCAACAACGTAGTCGACTTTGTTTTGAAATGTCTATACTAGAGTCCGGCACTCAAATGGTTGCACATGGCTGATATAGACTCGGTTGAGCAAGTTGTTCATGAGCAATCAACAATCCATACTGTAATCACAGTAGACAATCGACATGGACAGGCTTATCAACCAGCAAGAAACATATGTAAATATTCAAGGAGCATTATACAGCTACTGGAAATTGTACTACCAAATGGTCGATTTTCCTCCTCACATTATTATTGTTGTTTGTTGGTTGTAATAGCCCAGAGAGACCAGCAGTCATCAGGGACCAGTTAAACTGCAACCCGTACGTCATTGGACTGCTCCGCTAGCACAATTCGGGCAGTGGAGCCATGTGGATGGCTGATATGGATCGGAGTCACCTGACTACCCCAGATTCTCGAAAAACGTCACAAATCACGATGGCCCATCACGAGCCCCATTGTCACTATCTTCCTGGAAGGCCAAGGTCTGAGCAAAGTGCCTGTCTCGCTGTTGATAGAGAGCACAGTCAACGATGCTCTCTAGCCCAGGAGACTGAGACTCATGGTATGGGGCGTCTCTTCAATCATGCTTCACAAGTATTGCCTGTTCTGTCTCACTTTTTTCTCCTGCCTCTTCGTTGTGAGCGTGGATGGGGCAATATTTGGCAGGGATGATGAAGGCCAACAGCAGATATCTGAGGGACTTTTTGAATCACTCGAAGAGCTCTCACGTATCGTCGATGTCTCGTACTGCGTTGGGACCACTGAAATTCGGAAGCCATTCAAGTGTCTCAGTCATTGTAGCGAATTCCAGGGCTTCGAACTGGTCACCGTATGCTAAAAGCCTCTCACTTACATGTTGTCTTTCTGTCCAAGCTTGATCGCTTACATCGCCTCCAGACATGGAATACCGGCCCTTTCCTCTCCGATTCCTGTGGCTACATAGCCCTCTCCCACGAACCATCCCCGAAGCGGATCATCGTTGCCTTTCGCGGCACTTACTCGATCGCCAATACGATCATCGATCTATCCGCCTATCCTCAGGCCTATGTACCGTATCATCCCGAGGATGGAAAAGTGTCCGACCATTTACAATGTCTGAACTGCACGGTCCATGCAGGTTTTTTGGCCTCTTGGAGTAACACTCGCGCCATAGTACTCGAGCACGTAGCTGCGGCAAGGGCCCGGTACCCGGAGTACAGCTTGGTTTTGGTCGGCCACTCGCTTGGCGGCGCGGTTGCCGCCCTCGCCGGGGTCGAAATGCAACTGCGCGGGTGGAATCCTCAAGTGACCACTTTCGGAGAGCCAAGAATCGGAAACAAGGCCTTTGTGGGATTTCTGGATCGAATCTTTGATATACATGGCTTGGGAGCTGATGCCCAGGACCCCAGATTTCGAAGAGTCACACATATCAACGATCCGGTGCCCCTACTCCCATTGCAAGAATGGGGTTATGAGATGCATGCGGGAGAGATTTTTATCGCTAAGGAGGAGCTCTCGCCTCTACCCCCTGATATCAGACTGTGCCAGGGCGACAACGATGCTCGATGCATTGCAGGAACGGATGGAGTTGTAACGCTGATGCTGAACGAGTTGGATGATATCGTTTTGACCAAGCAGCCTCTATCGAAACGAGTCCAATCACCCCATCAGGCCGTTTTGGCTGACGTGGATCCTCATAGTAGTGCAGATGCCGACGAGCAACTACAGACGCCATTCAGCCTGCCTTGGCATCTTATTCCCTCCAGATACCGACTGTGGGAGCTGTTCTTCGCTCATCGCGATTATTTCTGGCGGCTTGGGCTTTGTGTACCAGGCGGTGATCCAACTGGCAAGATATCTGATACTGTTTGAGTGCTAGTATCCGGAATTAGGGCTTCATGATCACACAGGTCTGGTGGTTCGCGATATACGATTGAAGCTAGATGTTCGAGAAGTGATACCCTTTTCCTTCCCCACTTGCTCCTTTCTTTATCAGTGTGACTGTAATTACTTGGATATGCTATCTAGCGAGCTAATAAATTTTGCCTACCACTTCCGAATGAGAATCCGTCTGAAGCTAGCCCGGTCGAATCTTGCGATATCGCTTTGTAGACGTAAAGAGATGCCGATTTGGGAATGACTCTAGCTCCTATTGGCTCGCGCAATTGACAAGGCATGCTCAATGTCGGTTATCTGCGTGAAGTAGCTCACCCGAGGGACGAAAGGAACCCAAGAAGGAGAGAAGAAGAACACATGACTGATTCAGAACTTGACTTGAGGCAATCTAAGCTCGTCGCTATGAACACATAATATATATCAAGAACAGACCAAACAACGATGAGATTCGGAGAAAGAAAAGTCATGCATCACATAACACAGACCAGGGAAGAAAAACTCAAAGAACGCTTGCGACAGGGCACCGTGTGACAGACCGAGATCATTTCCCATGCTCCAGGCTTGGGACAATGACGGGTCCATACTTGACCACATTCCCATAGGTGCCGTCGCCCTGAACCATAAAGTCGACGGCGAGATTAAGCTTGCCGCTGCCATGGGGCATGTTCTGGCCGTACATGGTGTTCACGACCTCGGGGTCGTAGGCGACGATGGCCACGTAGTTGCGCCGACCCATAAGTTTACGATATTCGCGTGTTTGGCCCGTGACGTCCGTCTGGAAGATCTCCATCATGTCTTCCTTGGTATCTGTGGGTTGCGACGGGGTGGAGCGGTGGCCGTTCGCGGGAATGTATAGGGGCTTGTGGCTGCTGTGGAGGAGTTTGATGATGTACGAGGGGGGAGGGCTGTTGACAACGGCTGAGGAGATTATCTGGTACATGGTCTTGTGGTCCTGTGGGTGGGCTGGATCGTGCACTAGGCCCGCGCCGCAGACGTTCACGGCACCGGAAAGGAAGGTCATTCGCAGGGACTTCTGGTGGGCGATGCCTTGAAGTGTGCGAATGAGATATGTCCGTTCGAGATCCTGTATTGTCGCATCAGCATTTCAGGTATTGAGCATGACAGTGGAACTTGATTCACAAACCTTGGATTCATGCGTCCATTGATCCCGCAATTCATCGAGCAGATCAAACTCCCCAAAGGGACTTAAAATCCCACCCATGAGACCAGACTTACCCACGGCTCGCTTGACCGAGTCGAAGCCAGAGCCGACCATATCTTTGGCGCCAACCACGCCGGCCACAGAGCTCGTGACTTTGCCCAGCACGTTGTACGCCCCGGTGACGGCCCTTTTCCCGGTGGCAACAGTATGTGCGATGTGCTCGGCAGTCTCTAACCGGGGGTAGATGATGGGGACCGACAACATCCATATACAGTGCTGCACCGAAGGAGGCAACATGGCGACCTTAGGGAAAATGCCCTGATACGTCGGTCCAGCTATGACTTGGTGCGGGTTTCGTTCCGACCTACAATCGGCGCCAACGACGACAACGCCTGGTCCTAAATACTTGACGAAATGCCAACCCGTCCCCGTGATGGTGAAAAGATCTATGTCGGTGTTGACATTTCGCAAGATGTCCAGCGTCGTATGGTGTTGGAAGAGCAGATACATCTCAATACCAATGCGCCCGATGTTCTTGAACATGTTTGAGAATTGCATATGCTCAGGGTACGAGCCGAACCCATCAAAGCTGGCAAAGTCAGTTGCTCCTCCTTTACAAGAAGACAAGGTGGGGTAATACTCACATATCATGGTCATCAATCTGGCAGACGTACGGAACTTGAGCAAACGACTCCCTCAGATAAGGCTGGTCAAAATGACTGGTGTAATAATGGAAATAAGCATGAGAAACATCCTCCTCATGCGCTGCCGTCCACGGCGCATTTTTGCGAGCCTCTTTTCCACTGATCGCAAGCCACTGCTTCAGGGATGGAATCTCCTTCCACATTCGATCCGCGTAAATCTGGCCACCACAGCACAGCTGCGCATGAAAGCCCCCGATCTCATTATGTTTCTGCATAATGTCCTTCCACATGAAACCGATTCCCCCCAGACGGGACCTCTCATTTGCATTTACGTTCAGCGAGAAGTCGTTGCCGGAAGTGGCGACGAAGCGCCAGTTCGTCTCGTACCGACCAGCCACGAGGAACTCGTACCGAGTGCAGCCAAGGTGCGATGTAATGGCATACGTCCATTTGGCGGGACCAGACTCCTCCATCCGCAAGTCAACCTCGTACTTGTAAAACGTCCAGCGCTGGTGCACGGCAATGCTCATTGGCTTGAGCTGCCGGGGATTGGGCGACAGATCGACGCTCTGATGGATGTGGATGGTCGGCGGCTGGGCAGCGTCGGTGACCAGCAGAATAGAACCCAGCCAGATACCGCGCTCGAGATCCATGTTCGTGTACCGGAGATAGGGTCCGAAGTAAACACCGTTGGTTGGAGCGACTTTGTACAAATCAACCCCACTGCTTGGAGGGGGCCCGCTGAAACCAGCCACTACGGGTGATTGCAGACTCTCATAGCCGGGCGCTAGACCAGGCGTAAGAGGTATGCCGGGAGACGCCAGTGGCTTCCCAAAAGCTGAAAAACCGGGGGAGGCAAGAGGATGACTACTGTACACGCTGCCGACCGGTGACAACGGAGTTTCGTTCAGGTTCAAAGGAGTCGGTCCCTTGGGGAATTCCCACTGGGTCGACTGAGTTGGGAGGTGGATATAATAGTACTGTCCTGAATTAGGGTCCAGATGGGCTATCCATCCTTCTGGGAGCGGCGGCGGAGAGGCTGGAGGAACCGTCGATGAGCTGGGCAAGGAAGCGGCTGGTGCATTCTGCACAGGGGTAGGCTGGCGCCCGGCCGAAGTACCATTCTGTGGTGATAAACCTGCCGGGGACTGCTGCCGGGGTTCGTTGGCAAACGCCGGATGATCTTGGGGCGAGACTGTTGGAGCAGCAGGCGCAGCAGCAGCAGCAGTGGGAGGAGCCATGGTTGCTGGATGGCTCGCTGCAAGAGCTGGCTGGCCCATCGAAGCCGACA